AAACTGAGACTAAGACTGAGACCGAGGACAGTCAAGCTTCTTATGCTTCTGTGATGGGAGAACACATTGTGTCAGATCACCCGAAACCTGATTTTATCCTTCAGTGCCAGGAATCTGCTGCTGCTGGTCAGAATGCAGAAAAGCTCTGTCAAACCTTGAAAATTTCAGAAGATATTAGGTATGAGAAACAAGAAGACTTAGTAGTTGCTGCCGAGGGGAAACTGCAGGGCAGCCCTTTCATGTGTGAGTCACACAAAGAATTAAATTGTTTAGAAGATGTTCTAATTGGAAATATAAAAGAAGCTAAGTGCAACAGTGATAATGTGGGAAGAAAATCCCCAGAAAATAGCATTATGAGTTGCAGAGAAAAGAAACATAGAAGACGCTCAGTGTGTTTTTCTGATGGTCAGAATCTACATTTGGAACAAAACGGGAATCACGATCCTTCCTACAGTGTGGGAAGCTCTTTAGAAATTAGTTTAGAACAAATCTTTCAGAGACAAAATGGTAAAACCAAAGTGCGACGAAGCTCAAGGTTCCAAAAAACTTCGGAAAGTGAAGGGCTTGTGTGGATATCACCTCCATGTCCTCCCACTTCCCAAAAATCAAGGAGGAGAACAATAAGTACTTTTGACTGCAGAAGCCTGGGAAATATGTCCCCTATAAAAGAAGTTCTGTCTTCCAGACAAAACCCCCGTGTGGTGGTCGCTGCCTCAGGTGAAGAGAGCAGCCAGGATCTGGCTGCTGAGTGTTGGAGTCTACCTGAGCAGAGGAGGAGGAGTAGGAGGAGCTTCTGTGCACCCACATTCTCCAGCAAGGCATAGTGTCACTCAGCCCAACCTCTGCAGGAGAAGAGCCTTTCCCAAGAGGGGAGGAAGCCCCTAGCCCACCTCCCAAGGGGTGGAGACAGGCAAAGTAAAACAGGATGCAGCCCTTCCCCAGCAGCATCTGCAGTGGATGAGGTAGCTGTCCCTGCTCAGGAGCATCTTCTCTTCCAGTTCCATCCTTTGTTCAGCTTCAGTGCCTCAAAAGTTTCAGATCAATAAAATAACTTGATTTGAACTGACTTTTAAGTAGAAATAAGTGCATTTCTGCATCATTCAAAAAAAAAATAAAAACAAAAAACATTCTGTTAAGTATGTTCTCCCCCAAAATGGTAAATGCTATTATTAGTATTTTGCCAAAAGGATTGTTTTTAGACCCAACAGTATGAGAGTACTTACTTACCAAAGAAGGTGTAGACTCTGTTGTCAAAAGCAACCTTTAGGGTTGATCCTTATTTCACAGTTTATTTTTTGCAAAAGACAAATGTATAGAAGTGTGGAACTTTATGAAGATGGAAGTAATACAAACTTAAAGGCTTAAAGTGGGGTGATAAGTGTTTTATGATATGACAGAAAAGTGCTTAAATATTTTAACAGTTAGGAAAATGGAAATTATGAAGCTTGTTTTCTCTTTGGGTTCAATTTAAGAGAAGCTTTGAAGACTTGCCTTATCTGTTTCAAATGAAATTTTTACTTCAGTAGTTAAAATCAAATTCTAAATGTGAATTTTTAGAAATTTTCAATAGCCAGAATTTTATAAATCCATCTTTATAAATGAATATATAATTTAAAAATAACATCAATATGAAAGCATTCTTTTCTTCAAACAAGATTGCTCTTTTAAAGACTGGATTCCCAAATGATTTGAATAAGTCACAGGTAGTTTGGCATTTAGTTCATGGTTTGTGGTAAAAAAAATTTTTGAAAGGTACAAACTTACTAGGAAAGTAGTTTACTAACATAATACATGGTGGTAGGTCAGTGATTTGTATTGGCACAGCATTTTCCAGCAGTTCAAACTTTTTATTTCATAATTTCCAGTACTATCACTTGTCTCAGCTTCTTTAGGTACCTTTTATAATATTTCCTGCCGACTGTTTTGGTGACAGCAGTTTGAAAATCTAAATTACTATATATCTGGAATTTGTGAATGCACATAAATCATTGTATCATTAAACAATTGTCTCTGAAATCCTTTAAATCATTAAGCTCTCCCTTGCCATAATAGCAGAAACATGTTAACAAATAGGGCTCCCTATAAATAACACAACAGGGAAGAAAGCTCCTGCTGAGCAGCCCATTTCCCCCTTGTAGATGGAGACTATTTGTTACCTCCTTGGCACCGGCAGGTCTGGAACTCCTGCTGCTAAAGGCGAATGTATTTTACATTAACACTCAAGTGATCCCCAATTTCTTCGGCTCAAGGGTGGATTGTTTAAAAATTTCTTTTATCTTTACATGTAAATTATTTATAGACCTTTTCCTTTCCCATTTATGATTTGATGTGGTTACCAAATCAGTTCCCTTGAAAACAACCAAAAAAGAAAGAACAACAAAAACTAATTAACTTCATATGAAGCTTTTTGATTTTGGTAATTTAAAAAAATTAAAAAATAATAAACCTTTTAGACACCTAAATATTAGAGGACTTTGAGTTTCAAAAACAACTTTTGTATTTCCCCTTGTTCAATACAAAGGTGAAAAGCTAATGATTGTTACTTGCCACTAGTTCTAATTTATTATGCCGACTCAACCATATTTGAATTTTTAAAAATTCACATTTAAAAAAAAATTCTCAAAAAGTGCTAATGAGGTTGGATAAAGTATTTTGATCTGTGATTTTGGCTTGGGTTTTTCTAAAGTAAACTTGTTCTCACTTTCTAACTCCTACAGCTAAAAATATAGACGCATTTTTACAAGTTCTGTTGGTTTTAAAATGTTTCATTGATAAATATTTTGATATTTATGAATAGTTTATCTACCTAAAGTCTCTGTATCAGATTTGTAAAAATTTCTGTATTTCATCAAGGCTTCCTATTTTTTTTTTTCTTTTCATTAGTGGTGAAATCAAAAAGTTGACTTCAAAATAGTTTTTCCTTGCCTTGCCATTTTTTTTGCTGCAGGAACTCACCCTGCATGTTTGATCCTTTAGCTCCTCTGCCTCTGTTCCTGCAGATTCTTAAGTGTTCCAGGAGATGGCAGCATGGTATCTGAAGAACCCCCCTACTGTCTGAAACCTACAAGCCCAGGCAACTCCTATTTGCTGTTGCCGGTGCCTCCCCTTATTTTTTAATCGCAGAAATAATAGATATCTATTGAACAAGGCAGAGAACTGTACAAAGCTTTGAAGCAGAAGTATTGACAACTGTCTGCCTTTCCCTCCACCCCGACAGACGTCAGTGTAGCTTCACCTTCCTGTCGAAGCTCTCTGTGTGCAAACACTGACAGCTGCCGGGGGTCTTCCAGAACTTTCTTCCATGCACAGGGAGTATGATTTTGTTGTGTGCTAACCAGGATCATGATGTGCCATTCTGCAACTCGACTTTTGTTGGTCAACAAAATACCATGAGAGTCCTTCAGTCTTGCTGTGAGCAGTCCTAGATCTTTTCAATTAAGCCTTGCATAGAATTGCATATTTTTACTATCTGTAATTCAGGTAACCATCTCCTTAGTAATGAATGGGAGTTGTCTCCAGCTTTTGCCACTGAAAATGTGGCACATGGGGCTTGTGGAAATGTAAAAGAAATTCCTCAAAATTAAAGTAAAATGGTTAATTGACTTCTCTTCCTGGATCTTAACTGGCAAGCTGCCCCTTACGTTTTCGCATCCTTGCCTTCTTTCTCTCGTTTTCTTCTGCCACTTACAGCCACTCTGCCTCTGTTTTCTCTCACTGCCCCACTTTCAGCTGGGGTGCCAGAATTGAGAAGGAGGCTTAGAACTGCTGTAATTAGGAGGCAGTGATTGATCATGCCTGGTTCATGCTGGAGAATGAAAGAGCTATTTTTTAAAAGTCTAGCCTACTGAGGTAAAATGAGTTACAGTAAAGTTACTCTTTTTGAGCAGTTTGAATTTTGGCAAATTTATAGTCCTGTGACCACTGCAGCAGTCACTGATAGAACATTTCCACTACCTGAGTCCGTCCCCTCTCCCCAAACCCATTCCTTCCTTGCTGATTTCTGTCGTTAATATTTCTCTTTCCAGAATGTCATAAAAGTGGAATCATACTGTATATAACTTTTCATGTCTGCTTTTTTGAGATTCATTTATGCTGCCTGTAGTTGATACCTGTTTGTTGCTGAGTAGTATTCCAGTTTATTGATGTACCACCACTCTGGAAATTTGGATTGTGTTTTTTAGGTAATATGAATAAAGCTGCTATAAATGTTCACGTATGGTTCTTTTTTTATATCTTAGATAAATACTTAAGAGATGGGGCTCATTTATCTTAGGTAAATACTTAGGAGACAGGGCTCTTGAACTGGATGGTTGAAATAGTTTACCTTTCTAAGGAATTGGTGTACTTTCTCATTTTGTACTCCTACCACCAGCTGTTTGTTTTCCAGTGACTGATCATGATGAACATCTTTTCCTATGCTTGTTGACAATCCTTATCATCTATGTTGTCTGTTCAAACCTTTTGCCCAAGTTACTTGGTGTTATTGTTTATTATTGAGTTGAAAGATTACTGAGTATTTGGACACAAGGGCTTTACTGGGGTTGGTTTTTTTTTTAATTTTTTTTTGGTCCAAATTTTTTTATTTTGGTGCATTATATTTTAATGGTTGCTTTTTTAAGAAAATATTTTTTTTAGTTGTAGATGGACCCTGTACCTTAATTTTATTTATTTATTTTCATGTGGTGCCTCACACTTGCTAGGCGAGCTCTGTACCACTGAGCCCACAACCCCAGCCCCTAATGGTTGCTTTTTGTGTCCTGAGAAATCTTTGCCTAACTTGAAGGTACAAAGATTTTCTATTTTCTTCTAGAAATTTTATAGATTCATTTATCATTTAAGTCTTGAGTCTCCTTTGAGTTAATCTTTGCATGTTGTGTAAGGCAAGGGTGGGGTTTTGTGTGTGTGTTTTTAGTGGAAGTCATCCAGTGCCGTTTGTTGAAAAGCTTACCCATTCCTCATTGAATTGTGTTGGGACTTTTGAAATCATTTGGCCTTATATGTGTGGTCTGTTTCTGGTCTTTATTCCATTGATCTATATGTCTGACGAGTGTTAGACCATGTTTAAAGTTCTTTGTTGGGGGCAGTAGAGGCAAAAGGTCAACCATTTCTTTCTGGGACCTTCAATTATACCCAGACCTGCATGTACTACCTTTAGGGGACAAGAAGCCAGGTTAGTCATAAAAAGTCCTCAGTAATAAGGTAAGGAGACCAGTTTCCCTGGCATGGCTGTACACTCATCCCAGTCTTCTGTAAACTAATTTACTATGGTTCGTGATTTAAAATCGTGACCCAGAGTCACTGTAAGAGTCAGTTGTCCAGAAGTAATTCTCTCTTTGGATGCTGAACTTTGGCTAGAAGAAATAAAGGGAAATTAAAATAAGTTCCAAAAGATTAAATTATAGAACTAGTTCATTTGTGTTCATAAGTTGAGTTTTTGTTATAGTTTGGTTTAGTATAAAAACTGCTCCTCTCCATACTCAAGTGAACTTAGCATTTGTGAATCATTTCTTAACATGGGAAAATTTCCCTACACCAAGTCATTCCAGGTGGGCAGATTATAGATTTATTCATACCTCTGTCAGGCATTTATTTGACAACTGTGCCAGGCATTCATTGCTAAATGTGATCATTGTCTTCTGAAGCTCAGTTTTCTTCAGGGAGGCAGAACAGCAGTCTAGGGCATGGTTATAAAGAAGTCCACTGGCGAGGCGTCTGTCTCAGAGCCACCGGCGGAAGCTCCAAAAGGCACGTGTGTTCCTGATGTCCCTTTGTTAACCACTCCTGAACCTGGTTGTTACAGGTTGGCTTCATCTCATGCAAGTTTTTAAATCATTTTTGCTTCCTTTGTATTCTTAGTGTGAATACATCTGGATGGAGCATACATCTGAAACTAGACTGCACACAGTGGATTGTATGGAACAAAATTTTAAAGTAATCTCACATGGTTATTCAACTCTCCAAGTCTGTCTGTAGAGTATGTGAAGGATTTCAAGCCTCAGGGTTTGAAATCCTAGATTGAGGGTGTGGGGTGGGATTAAAATTCATTTAACAAATAATTGTACATTAAAAAAAAATGGGGGTTTGGTCTTAAATTTGAGAATCACTGCATAGCCTTGATTTGGTCCTACAATTGTACCATGGCCTGACAATTTCAAGCTATCTGATATTCTGGTGTTTATTTTTGTACATCATTCAGTGTTGTCTGTTGTCTATGAAACTGAGATACAGACTACAAATAACAAGATGGCCCTAAAGGAGAAGTTGACTAATCACTGCCATTCACCGCATACACGTTTTTATTTCACATCTTCAACCAAGATCATACTTAGCCTGATTATGACCTGAAGGATTTATTGGAAAGATTTTTGGAGGTTTGAGTGAAGTTGGGATTCAAGGATTTTCTGAAACTGCTTTTATATTTGTTAAGTATTCTATCACACATGAAAAGGGGGAAATAAGTGAGCAGGCACATTAAAGAAAAATGCAGGCTTGCCTTTTACCACAAAATTTCCGACAGTTGGTGGGAGAGCTAACTTTAAAGTTTTTGTTATAGTTTGGTTTAGCATAAAAACTGTCCCTCTCCATACTCAAGTGAACTTAGCATTTCTTTCTCATTTATTCAAAGTGTACAAATTGGCTAAATTGCTTAAGTTTACATGCTGTGCTGCAAGTGGTCTGTAGGGATGCAAACAATTAGCATTTGGGGTTAGAAGAAAATTCAAATTATATAAACTTTAAAAAGTTCCAAATCCTTGTGTATGTGTGTGAATTTTTAATCTCTGAAATTTTAAAGGTAACTTTTAGATCTATTTACTACAGCTAATTTTATTTTCATGGCCTTATTCACCCACTTATTCATTCCACTTTAGTAATGTTTTGTAATTTTAAATATAGTGATTTGGTAGTGGTCTTTATGTTTTTGCCATTTAAAACCAAACCGCTAAAAGTGTTCTGTTATCCTGGATGCCAAGCAAGGAAATAAATGTCAATTTTTTTCTCTGTTTCACATCAAATAACCACTAAATAGCATCAGGTGTTTGCAAAAATAGATTCTTCTAAATGTCTGCTGCTAACAGTGGAATAATTTTTTTCAGTATAAAATTAATGTCAGGCAGTTGAAAAGTTTATAGAGAAAATGGGCAAAAGAAGATTTTGGTTCAATTACATTTGTAGTTTAGATGCCAGGGACTTAAATGTAAAGCGTAAGATTTTATGTACGATTTTATAAACATTTGAGCAAATACAATGTGTCTCCTTTTTAATTGTTCATAACAGCAATAATCCAAGGCAACCAATCTTTGTCTTTTCTTGTTTTGAGTATAAATTGGGAATGAAGATTTTTAAATATTCCCTAACTCAAACCTGAAAAACCTGGTGTTAGTCTTGGGTGATTTCCAGTGACCCTCTGCCTCCCTTCTTCCTGCCCCCTGTGTAGATTTGGAACGGGGCAGCCATTTTTGTTTTTGGAAGGGAAAGGAGACAGATATAATGAATGACTTTTATTGTGCAATATTTCAAACTCTCTTGAATGCATTCGAATGGGATGGAAACTGCTCTGCCCTGTGTCACAGCCAAGACAAACAAAACATATTCCCTAAACCTGGATGTGTGTTTCAAACTGGCAGTAGAGTTCAGCTCTCAAACAAGAATTTAGTTTGACAATTTTTAGCCCTTGTTCAACTGAATATTAGGGTAGGTCACAGCCAAAGCAAATACCATGGGGAAAAATTAATGTACATATTTACAGCTTGCAGGTGGCATTTTTTCTTAAATGTTGGAGATTTGTCTTAAGGAATTGCATTTGTGGTAATACTTTTAAATAGACTACTTTTTTTTTTTTGCTAATATTTTTAAAATGAGCTCTGATAACAGTAACTCCAAATGTAAATAAATTCTACAGAAGTCCCCAAAGAGTGATAAATGCTTGAATTTAAGTATTTAAACATTTAGAGACCACTAAGAATCTGAGAATTTTAGGAATATCAGAGCCAGCAAGAATGCCTGAAACCCCCTTGATAGCAGCCTTCTCTGCCCCCCAAAGAACCCACTCTAAGAAGCATCAATGGCCCCTTTGTAAGTCAGCCTCCCGCATTGTTTACCAAGTCCCGCCTTCCCCACTTCAGTTGTTAAGTATTTCCCCCTTTGGATCTGTGAAGAGAAAGTAATCTGTGCCATCAAGATAATCCATCTTGTACATGGTGCTTTCTGACCCTCACAAAATATATTATTAATCGCAATAATAACTTTGAATTTGTGATTACCTGCGACCAACAGGCTCTTGGTTTGTGTCTTAAGATACAATGGCAGCAAATGTGTAAGTGCAGACGATCCGAGTCTCACAGGGTAGCAAAGATTTCAGCCCACTTTTCAGGTCTTGCCTTTGAAATATAAAATCTTTTCATCAGATGTTTTGCTGAATAATATCAGACAGAAGCATTGCCTATAGATGCAAAGATTTCTACTTCCCAGGCGCTTAAAGACCAACGTAGTCCTGTGAATAGCCTAAGTGGCATTTTAAGGAGTGGATGTTTAGGTTTTGCAATTTGCCCTGAGTGGGTGAATGGATATTGTAGAAGCCCACCATGCCTGGGCTGTCAAGAGGCCAGAGAAATGTGATTTAAAAGGAGGGGGACAGGGCACTAGAAATTTCTTGGGGGGGTGGGGGTGAAGCAAGCTTTTGTTTTTGAAAGTGTCATTTAGGTTGTTGGTATTCAAATTTGAATGTGGTGGGTGCATAGAGTTAAATTTGCATTTGAGTAACAGGAATATTTAGCACTCTGGTTTATTCAAATTCATTTTTCTTTTTTTTTAAACTCTCAGAATTGAACAGTTCCTTTTTAACCTAAGTAAACTTATTTTTAGATATAAAAATAATTGTCCAATCAAATCCAATTGGAACCTCTTAGATAATTCCCACTGTGGCTTCCTTTCCCCTTGGAGAAATGATGCATCTTCCCTTTAAATAAATAATCTAGGCCCACCCACTTATAGCCCTTGATCAAGGCCTTGTCCTCCCTTTTTTTCATTAAAAAAAAAAAAAAAATTTGCAACCCTCACTAGAGGTGCTGCAGTGTATGGTTCCTCTGGTGACACAGCAAGGTGCAACATGGGTTCTGGGAAGTGACTGGCGCCTCAGAGTGGAGAGTGTGCAGCCTGATGCTCAGCTGGTGGATTATTTCATGAGCTCTGTCCACACCTGTGTCTTCCAGCACCTGGTGCTTAAGGAAGGCAGGCCACCGGGCACTGGCTGGCTGTTGCTCTAAATGTTGAGAGTCATTGAAATCAATAGCTTCAGCGGAATCATCCAGAATTTCTCAAAAGTAATCAAAGATCGTGAATTAACTGAATGCCGAGTTCTGATTTACCATTTCTTTTCTAATATATTTGTGGGGGGCTGGGGCAGAGGAGAACCCAGAAAGAGCTCTGCTTCTGCGTCAAGACTGCTGCTGCTTGCAGGTGCCAGCACCTCAAATACTCAGCGTTCTCCATTCGTCCCTAAAACCTGTGCCCAGGGTCCCACAGCTGTCCTGTAAATGCCCCAGTGGATTTCTATTCTGTATTTCTCCCAGGAAAGAAAACAGTCCTGTCAGCTCCCCTACACTGTGGAGGCCAGTGTCCTTTTGACATTTTCCTGTCTTCCCTTCTGCTCTGCCATCCACTTGCAAAGAGCTGTTACTACCAGGCCAAAAGCTGTAACAATATTAAGATGTTTTCCTCAACCTTGTCCCCAGAAAGATACTCTGTTTCCAAAAGATTGTTCTCCCCTGGGCATTACATCATGAATTGATTCAGTTCTTGGAGTAAGAAATTGGACAAAATATAATAGATTACCTCCTGGGGAAACATACTTGGGTTGTTAAGTATTCCCCCCAGAAAACTGAGAAACTGCTTATATATTACTCCTTGGTCCACATTTAACCTTTCCCTTTATTGCAGCTGAGCAGGGAGCTTTTTTCCTGTAAAGGTTTGTTTTAGTGAGGGTCAGAACATTTTGGTGAGGAGTATAAGTTCTCTTGGTGTCTGCCCTGCTGCACTTGCTCAGCTTCATGGGCAGAGTGTACCAGACCCTGCCACAGGTGAGACAGTGGCCAGCGAGGGTGTCCCGCCCGTCAGGAGCCTTGCAGCAGGCTGAGCGCAGGAAGCGGGCGCTGGCCGGAGGTGGACCTGGATGGGTTTAATTTTCCTCAGGGAGTGTTTGGCCCCTGGGGCATCGTGCCCAACAGAGGAGAAGGCAGCACTTGTGCAGCATTTGGAAGGCATCACCGTGGTCACGTGGAGTGCGACTGGCGCGCAGCATCCAAGCCGGAGAAGAGGATCGGGTTTCCTCTTTCTTGGGAACCGGTTCTCGAGAAGGATGTTAATGATTGATGAAATAACTCCCGTCCAATAAATAGTGCAGCAAGAAACGTGGGAGCTATTTTCCTTTCCAAGTTCACAAGTTGGAGTGGAAAAGGGACAGGGGAGCGTGGGCCGCGCACCTCTGCTGGCCCCAGATGGAGGTGACTTGGACGTGGAGTGGAGGGGAGGGCTGCCGAACCTGAGGGGCTGGTAATGACGGGTGCCTTTCATCGCCCCATGCCCAGCTGGTCACTGGAAGCTTGTCACGTCCAGAACCCAGTTAACAGATCGTAGGACCATGAAGCGACTTGGCTGGCTCTGTTGGCAGGATCGCTGCAAAACGGCCTGGGTAGGGCCAGTTACTTTTTCTGAGCACGTCAGCGAATCTCAATTATTGTCTCATAAATCTCTAATCAGGAGATTAGCAAGGCCTCCCCAGGGCACTGCAATATATTCCTTTATCCCAGTGAAAGCCCTCCGACGGCTGCCATCGGGCCCCTGGCTGAGCCTCCAGGGTTCACTCCATCTCTGAGGTGTGCACCCGAGGAACTGGCCAGAGCCCCCGGAGGACTGTGGTCAGGAGAGAGACAGCCCATGGAGGAGATGGTGAAGAGCACATGGAGCCTCTATGTCGCAACTTCCTGTGAATGTCTTTAATTATTTCAAAATACAAAGTGTAAAAAAGTCAAGTGCCTGAAATGACCATGCCGAAAGTCTGCCTATCTCTGTGACCTCCTCTGTGCACGGAGATCCGGGCCATGTCCACTGTGTGTGGCGTGAAAACTGACGCAGATGTGCCTCCTGTGTTGTCAGTCCGCATCCTGCACCTTGTTCCAGGTGACCCCTCGACAGGGTCACTGAAAGCAAAGGGCTCCGCTGTGTTCTCCATCTCCAGTGCCACAGCCGTAACCAGTGCTCCCACGTGCCCTCACTCGAGGTGATCACGTTGTTAGGCCCGTGTTGCGGATCGGGAAGCTGAGACTCGCAGAGCTGGGGTGACTCACCCCCGGTCCCACGGAGCAGCGACCCACTCGCTCTCCTCTGAGGCAGAAGCTGGGGGATGCTGAAAGCAGCAGAGGAAGGCCATTTTCCTCCTCCAGGCCAGACTCGCCAAGGTAACCACAATGCCCTCTTCCTCAGGAGCTGTGACACAGTGGCCGACACTCCGCCTCAGGGTCCTCTTCTGGCTTCCAGGCTCTGTCCCCAGCCACGGCCTCCTCCTGCCTTCCTCCCCAGGAAATCAGCCCCGTTGGCAGACCGTCCGCTGCTGCAGGGCCTGGGGTGCTCCTGGCTCCTGGCTGAGAGTTCTCTTTATCAAGATGTGGGGAGGTTCCCTGTGTGAGCTACACCAGCTTCGCTCAGCCTTTACACCATCTAGTCGAAACTCTCAGTGCGCAGCCCCTGTCTTGGAAAAAGACAGGGTCCGTGTACTGGCCCAATCTCCTGGTCACAGAGCATGGCCTGCTCCCCCCCCACCCACCCACCCATGATGCTTCTGTGCCACCTAGGATGCGCTGTCACCTACCCAGCCATTTGTTGACTGGAAACGGAAGCAACCCAGCAACCGGCTCACGAGTGGGCACAGAAAATTCCTAGTCACGGAAATCAAAGACATCAATCTTTTCAGCATCCAAAATGTGTCGTCCACCTGCGGTTCAGCAGGAGGGGTCAGGGGTGCAGTGTCAGCCAAGGGCAGAGGAAGACTGCCAGGAGGTTCCTGCTAGAGTCTGGCAAAGGCCGTTTCCACCAGGAAGCTTGCCCTGGCCTCGGGACAGTGTGTGTGTGTGTGGGCGGGGGGAGGTTGACTTGAAGAGCCACCCCTATGCTGTTGTGCACCCCAAGTCCAAGAAGCCATGTGTCTGAGCTCTGGACAGCTGTGGCCATTTCTGTTGGGAGGTCCAAGGGGGTGAAACTGGCTCAGAACTGGGCTGGAAGCTGGAGCAGGTTCTGTTTGAGGGCTTAGGGCAGCAAGTGCCAAAAGCAATGTTTGTTAAGTGATAATTGATTGCCAGGCATTTTAGTTGGCTCGCCTGCCTCAACCGAGAGGCTTGTTAAAGTGAAGGGGTCCCTCTAGCTCTTTTGCTGGCTCCTACAGTCCTACCAAGAAGTTTGGGGAGAAAATGGGACTTCCTTTCTAAGGGGTTTGGACTGCAGGTTTGGGGAAAGCTACCCTCCTTTGTCTACCAACTTCTCCAAAGGGCATGTAGGAAATCATCCTTTTAAAAATCTCCCTTGCACTTTATATTGCCCCCATTTCTCCCACCATCTCTCTGTCACCATACAATGTCAAGGGCTGCCGTCGCGGCTCAGTGGTAGAGCGCTCCCCTAGCAACGTGCAAGGCTGTGGGTTCCATCCTCAGCACCACATAAAAATAAATAAAATTAAGGTTGAAAAACATACAATGTCAGTTTTAAAGTTTTACGATATTTTGTGCTTGTAGTTGAAAACTCCAACAGACTTGGCAATTGTATACAACCAGAGTAACTGAGATGAAAAAAAAAAAACAAAACCAAAAAAACTCAGTGACTATTTTTCAAGCCTGTTCACAGAAGAGCAAATGGATGGCCAGAGAGTTGGGGTAATTTGCCCAAGGTCACACAGCTTCTAAGGGCAAGGCTGGGACCCAATCTCCTGATTACAGAGCATGGCCTGCCACTGCCCCCCGCCCCAGGATGCCCAGCTTTTTGTTGACTGGAAACAGAAGCAATCCACAACCAGCTCCCTGGTGGGCACAGAGGACACAGCGAATGAATCAATGCTGTTTGAGAGGCTGAGGGTTATGCCGCCGCCCCCGTGATGTGCCTGCAGGGGGCGCTGCGACAGTCTTTCTGTTTCCATAGCATGTAATCCAAGTGCGCGTGACAGCCTTGGACAGTCATGGGGGTGGGGGTGCTGGGTACAGAGTCTCACTCAATCATTCCAATATTTTCAAAGCGTTTCCACTGTGAACAGTCGCAGTATTTTTCTCTTACAATTATTGCGAGGGTTGAATTATGCAGCGATAATGTATGTAAAGTTCCTTGTTTAGTGTTTGGCATG